AAGGATGGCATGTGATGTGATGAGAACTGGGTGTTATATGCAACTGACGAATTACTGTTCTCTACATTTGAAACTAATAATGTGTTGGCTAACTGAGTTTAAATTAAAAAACAAAATAAATTTATTAAATAAAAAAGGAATACTCTCATTTATTCTTCAAATTATATTGGGTATCACAATGCCTAGCAATAGCAGATTCTCAATAAATAATTGTTGAATTAAAAAACTAAAAATAAAAGATTTTTTTTTCACTTGAGACAACCAAGTGAAACTATCCTGCTTACAGTTTAGCATTCCTTCCATTCTTTCATGATGAAAATGCAGCCAAAATAAAAGAATCTGTACCATCGCTGTTTTGTTCATTTCAGCTATCTGGACAACCTATTAAGATTAGTACAAGATGACTGTTTGCAATTATAAAGAAAATTTAAATGAATTTATTGCCTAGAATTCCATTGCCTAGAATCCCACTGCCTAGAATCCCACTGGCTATATTTTTCAATACCTTATCTTTTAAGCTATTTTGAATATCATACTCAGGGCTCCTGGGTGGCTCAGATGCTTGAGTATCTGCCTTCACCTCAGGTCATGATCTCAGGGTCCTGGGATGAAGACCCACATCAGGGTCCCTGGTTGGCTCAACTGCGGGTCTGCTTCTCCCTCTCCCTCTGTCTCCCCCGACTTGTGTGTTCTGTCTCTCTCTCAATGAATAAATTAAAGAATCTTTAAAAAAATGCCATACTTAACCCCTAAAAAGAGGCAAACAGCTTATTAATTTCACAAAGTGGTCTAAAATAATATAATAATAAAAGACAAATGTCTAGTAAGGTACTTTATATGAATTATCGCATTATATCTTCAAAAGAATCCTGTCAGGTAAGTAATAAACTCCTTTAAAAATTTTTGTAATAGCTTTATTGAGATATAATTAATATACCTTTATCCTTGTAAACTGTACAAGCCAGTGGTTTTTAGTATACTGACAGACTTGTGAAATGTATTACCATAACCTAAGTTTAGAAAATTTTCATCCCCTGCAAAAGAAACCTAGAACCTATTAGCAGTCACACCCCATTCTTCCCTCCTTGTATCTTTTGACAACCACTAATCTACTTGGCTCTATTGATTTGCCTATTCTGGACATTTCATATAAAGGTAAACTTTATATAAATGATCTTTCATGAATATTTTCTTTCATTTAACATGTTTTTAAGATTCAACCATGTTGTAGCATGTGTCAGTACTTATTCCTTTTTATTGACAAAAAGATATTCCATTTAATGGATATACCACATTTTATTTAACCATTCAGCAACTGATGAACAGTTGAGTTGTTTCCATTTTTTGGCTATTATAAATAATCTGCTATGAACATCTGTGTGAACATTTTTGCGTAGGCAAATGTTTTCTTCTTTTTTATTAGTTTCAGGTGTACAATAGAATGATTTGACAGTTCTATACATTTCTCAGTGCACATGAAGGTAAGTATACTCTTAATCCACTTTATTCTACCTCCCTCCCTCCCTCCCTCCCAGCAATCATGAGTTTGTTCTCTGCATTTAAGAGTCAGTTTTATGTTTGTCTCTTTTTCTTTTTTTTCTCATTTGTTTTGTTTCTTAAATTCAACATAGGAGTGAAATATATTTGTCTTTCTCTGACTTAGCATTATACCCTCTAGATCCATCCTCATTGTTGCAAATGGCAATATCTCATCTTTTTTCTATGGGTAATATTCTGTTATACACACACATTACATCTTTATCCATTCATCTATTGATGGACACTTGGGTTGTTTCCATATCTTGATTGTTGTAAGTAATATTGCAATAAACATGGGATGCGTATATTTTCTCGAATTAGTGTTTTCATTTTGGGGGGTTAAATACCCAGTAATGAAATTACTAGGTCAGCTGGTAATTCTATTTTTAACTTTTTGAGGAACCTCCATACTGTTTTCCACAGTGGCTACACTAGTTTGCATTCCCACCAACAGTACACAAGGGTTCTTTTTTCTCCACATCCCTGCCACCACTTATTATTTCCTATGTTTTTTATTTTGGCCATTGTGGACATATGTTTTCAATTCTCCTGGGCATATACCTAGAAGTGGAATTACTGGGTCACATTATAAGTGTATGCTTAATTTTTGAGGGACTGCTAAACTATCTTCCAAAGTGGCTGCCATTAGAGTTTCAATTTCTCCACATCCTCAACAACACTAGTTACTGTCTTTTTATTTTTAGCTATGCTAGTATGTGCTGGGGGCTTGATTTGAATTTTCCTAATAACTAATGTTCTTGAGCATTTTTTTCATATGCATATTGGCCATTTGTATATCTTCTTTGGAGAAATATCTATTCAGATCCCTTGCCCATTTTTAATCTTTTTATTCTTTATATGTTCTAGGTTCTAGTATGATTTACAAATATTTCCTGCTAGCCTATGGGTTGTCTTTTTAACCTTTTTGATGATGTCCTTTGATCTACAAAAGTTTTTAATTTTAATGAAGTCCAATTTGTTTATTTTTTCCTTTTGTCATTTATGCTTTTCATGCTCTAACTAAGAAACATGGCCTAACCCAAGATCATGAAGATGTATGCCTATGTTTTCTTCTAAAAATATGTTTCTTAGTTTTGAACCTTATATTTAGGTGTATAACCCATTTTTAAATTAATTTTTGCATATGGTGTGTTAAGCCCCATTTTACAGAGGAAAAAGCTAGTCAAAGTAAAGCTAGGCAATTTTCTCCAAAGTGTAATAGCATTCGTGGGGCTAAGACAGGATTCGAGTCTAAACAGTCTGACTCTAGGGTCTGCACACTTACCCACAATATTATGCTACTTCTATGTTGAAACTAAGGTTTTCCTCTTTTGTCAAAATAGATGTAAACTGGTAGATTAAGGTTTTTGTTCTTTTAATTATTGGTGGGTAGGCAATGCAATGGGAAACTCATAAGACATCAGTAGAACTTCAAAAGGGATCACCAGTTTTCTGCTTTATGCAAAGAAATGCTGCAAAGACATAAAAACTTTAAAAAGCAAAGCCAATGTCTACCTGCCATAAACATGCAATTTCCACATAGGAAATGGTTTACTGCTTTGATAATTAATCATTCTTTTTGGTAGTTGAAATCAGAAGAGAAAAGTTCACCAAATGTTTCCTTTCATCAATATACTAGATCCATGTTCACTGACTTTATTACCCTATATTGTTTCCTAAAAATAATCCCCTCTATGTTATGTCACATTCTGTGAAAACTGATTCTTCAAAAGGCGACCATCTTAAAACTCAATAAAGTCTAATTAATTATTAATTATTATTAATAATATTAATATAATATCAATATTATTTATTATTATTATTTATTATTCCAGCTAGTTTGTATCCACAGAAATTTCACCAAATGATATGTAAAGATACCAATTCTCATGAAAGCCCTATAAAGTAGCATTTCATATGAAGGTCCAGAGAAATTTGAAAAGTTAATAATTTTGGAAATGTTAAGTAACATCAACAAAGATTAAGACTTTGGTCTAGCAAGAACTATCTCAGTTTTCTTAATATCCAATGTAATATTCTACCCATCATGTATCACTAACTTCACTTAGCACAGCAATCATTAATGATTATAATAAAGTAAAATTCTGTTATCCCCTGTGTGAATGAATGGCATTATATAGAGTGATTTCACAGCAGTTTATTAATAGAACTTTCAATTCTATCTGCTCTGCCAGTGACAGGTTTTTAAAAAACAACAACAACTAATTAATTTTATCTAGGTAATGGTGGTTGGATATTTCTCCACTCTACTTGCCTGCTACTTTATTATATATACAATTTAACACATATTTTGTTTCAAAAGAAAGACAAGTATTGGTTAAATCAAGAGCAATTTGCCTGTCTGCACTTTCTTGCTGACTTAAAGCTTGATTTTGTGTTGTATGCTTCTGTCAATGAAACTGTCTATTTAAAATTACTATTAGAGTCTGTAACATTAACATAATGGATACATTCTCTTACAATCTCAAGAGAGGGGATTTTTTAAAATGTTGACTGGAGGCCTTGTAATAGATGCCATTCAGAGAGTTGTTTTATTTTTTAAATTTCTAAAGGGAACACTTCATGCTTCTGATGAGCTCTGTTATCTAAACCAATCTGTACAACTTTGCTAACACGAAGGGGTCATTTGAATTCAGAAAAGGTGGAAACTTTAGGCTTTGTATTTTTTTCCCCAATGGCACAAATAAGTTTTTGAAAGCAAGAGAACCACAAATTCTGACAACACCACTGGCAACATATAATTAATTGGGTGACCAAGTGAAGACAACTCCCCAGAAAGCTTTGCCCTGAACATTTTACCATTTCATCCACCCATGACTGAGAAGCATATAAATGTCTATACTACTGTTTGATTTCTCAGAACAGTACCGAAGGACACGCTCTCTCAAAAGCCATATAAGCTCTTTGTAGGATCACTGTTATCCCGGGACACTAATATAAGCCCAAATATAAGCTCATGAGTAAATTTATTCTTCAAACTATCATTATACTTTGAATACATTTGCTCAAAAAAGTCAAGTCCATTTGCCACTTCAAATATAGCTAAGAGAAATAAAAATTAAATATAATAAATATCAAAAAGCTTTCAAAATATGAAAAAAATTAACAATACTTTGGGTACTGGCAGAATAAGTTCTTCTAGAAGGCAAAGAGATAAAAAAGAGAGTTCTTTAAGGCAATAAAATACTCAAACTTCAGGCTAAATAGGGGGAAACATTCTGTAGAAGAAAATGTTATAATAAGATTCTATATTTTCAATCCCTATTTCTCCTGGGAAGAGAGAGCTAAAGAATATAATGTTCATACTCTAGTCTGATTATATTATAGGAAGACTTTTGCTAAATAGAGAAGCAAGTGGAACATGGAAAAACTCTAGTTGCTTGAGAAAAGAAGTCACTTCATAATAAAAGGAAGCTCATAACCAGGGTACCTGGGTTTACCTTTGCTTTGCGAAAGTGGTAGACCACCAGCATGCTAACGAAGTCGAGCAGCATACACAGGGCTTGGAAGGAGATGATAGCAAGTCGCAAATACTTATCCTCCTGGACAAAGCAGGGGCTGTCATCAGCACAGTAGGGGCAGCCCTCCCTGCAGGGTAGGCAGACATGGGCTTCTTCTGACACATCTTTTGCACTTCCTGAAAGTTCCAAATAAAACCACAGTGTCATTGCACCTGTGAGATAGGTGAGTACACAAAACACATCCTCACCTCTTTGTTCCTTATCCCTCTTACTAAAGACCTTTTATCAATCTTCTTGCTAGGGGAGAGTTACTTTGTTTTTAGACTTAAATAAAATTCTTTTTATCCTTTCGATTAAAAAAAAAGGGACTCAAGGTAATTGAAAAACATTAGCAAAAATGGAAATAAAACTCCTTAAAGGCAAAGAACAGTTTTCCAATTCTGTCATATCATTATCTACCAATCCCCAAATGATATTTCCTATGGCAAAAATCATATTCATAAATATTTGTTAAAGAATTAACCAGAAGGAAGGATAGGAAAGTCGTCTCTTTTCTGTACCAAGTAATACACAACATTTTTGGAACGTCTTGACCTAGATGGCACAGAATCCAAAATGAGGCTTTGATTGCTCCTTAATTCAGTGGGGAGCTCATCTACTAAGTTCATTAGATCTAAATTGGATAAAATGATACTTAACTGGCAGTTGTTCAGTGTGCAATTGCCTAATGATGGTGCATCCTTTGCCCAGAGTATAAGCCATACTTACAGGCTATCATGTAATTTCCCACTTTGCCTACTCATAAGACATTTCCTCACTACTAACTAACTGCTGCTACTGATCAGCCCTTTACTTTTAGATTCTTCTCTCTCAGTTGTCAAACTTAACTTAGCTCTGAAGCTCAATAGGAGAAGATTTTCTTTGAGTTTAACACTGGGAAATATCCAATTAAAAACATATACTAAAAAAAAAAAAAAAACCCACAAAAAAAAAACTATTTCCAACTCTGAACTCAATATGAAAGACATTAGTGAATATATACCTGAATTAGTATGTAACACAACCACCCTGTTCAATATGTAATACAACCTTGACTGATTGAGGAATCTGGCAAAGAGGTTGCTCTGGTTAACAGCATTTTAATAACACAAAGTTTAACAGAAAATCTTTATCACTTTCAATTCTTGTTGACGGTTCATAATCTTTCTAACTGTATTTGTCTGCTCTTCTTCCTTAATAAATATAAGAACAAAAGCATAATTGAGTATTTCTTTGATGATTCAGGATATCATGCTGTTCAAAAGTCACTATTCGTTACATAGTGAAAAGTGCACAAGTTTTCGTATCCAGCAGATATGGTTCCCATTCCTAGATAGCTCTGAGATATTAAGCAACTCATTTGACTACTTTGGGTCTTAGTTTATTTATGTTTGAAATATGAATTGTTGTGGGTATTGAGTTAACACGTATAAATCAGAGTGCCTGGTTTTCTCTTCTCCAAATACTGAAGATGCAAAAAGGGAGTTGAAATCCACCGGTGCCTTAAAGAAAAGTATTACTGTTCAAAAACAAGACAGAAGAAAGAGCCGAGGTAAGGAGGAAGTGAGTGGGAATGATAAACTCCATTTTAGAGAAGATAACTTTGAGGTCCAACTCACTGTCCAGCAGTAATATACAATGAGAAATGAGCAATAATACAAGACTGGGGTTTGGGAGATGGGTCAGTCAGAGAAAGAACCTACAGAGAGCTCAGGGAACGGATAAGGCAATGATTGGGGAATACAAAGAGTAAGAAGCTAAACAGGTAGGAATTTTTACAATGTCATAATAGAAAACAGATTTACTGGAACATGCTGACATGTGATCAAAGATGATGACTGAGGAAAGGCTATGAGGTATGATGATTGTTTTATCTGTCACTGACTGTTAAGACAGTGGTTTCCAAGAAGTGACAGATATTATAACTAGTTTGTCAGAGCTTAGGGAATAAATATGAGAAAAAATAGAGTATTATTTCAATAAATCTCGTATTGAATGAAACTAATGACAGAGTATATGTTAATTGAATTTAAATAAAATTAATTTTTAAAAAGATTTTTTTTTAATTTTATTTATTTATTTGACAGAGAGAGATCACAAGTAGAGAAGCAGGGAGAGAGAGAGGGGGGAAGCAGGCTCCCGGCTGAGCAGAGAGCCCAATGCGGGGCTCGATCCCAGGACCCTGGGATCATGACCTGAGCCGAAGGCAGAGGCTTAACCCACTGAGCCACCCAGGTGCCCCCAAAAGATTTTTTAAATAAATTTTTATAAAGGGGAGAAATCAGTTGAAAACTGTTTTGAAATATAGACAAAAGACAATGTGGCAGCCAATCTTGTAAAGTCTTATACTTTTCAACAACTCAGCTTGAGAATGAGGAAGGCCAGTTTTGAGGATGAAGACATGAAAGATTAAAGTGGCAACAGTACCCAAGATGACTCGTTGGGATCACTCGGCAGAAAAAGAACCCATTTAGTGTAAGATGGTATGATCTACTGGAACACCTATCCAAAATGGCTTTTTTCCCTTATTTTCTACAATTATCAGCATAGAAGCAAATGAGGAGGATAGAGCAGTCGAGGATAGAGAGTAAAGGACTGTGACGGTGGCATTACATCACAGGGAGGGAGGAAATGCCAGTTCAAGGCTGTAATGGGGCTGCAGCCCTCACTCCTTCAGGGTAGCCAGGGCTCAATCCTCCAGAGCCCTCCTGAGTCTGAGCTAGTCTGAGGGACTAAAGAGGAAAACATTTCTTCACCATCAACCTAATTCATTGATCAAAGGTGGCCTCCAGGGTCATTCACTCCCATACACTTTTTGGTTAGGCACTCATGCATTTGGAGCTGATTCCTGCATCTTGTGCCATGACTGTAGCGGTGCCCCACAGGAGAAAAGAAATTGAAAAGTGTGGTATGAGGTTCCAGTCGGAGGCAAAGCATAATACACCTGTATTTATGCAAAGCTTTCAGGCAATAGAACAATGACTGGATAAGACATCAGGCCAAGTGGCATTAAAAGGGATTAAAAACAAGTATCTGATATGGACAAAAACTGGCATATACATCAAGAGCTACAAAGTATGAAAGTCTGGGATACTAAGAAAGCAGTAACTGAATTAACCATGTACTAAATGGATATTCATGTAAGTGAAGTGAGAAGGGGCCACTGCCCTGAATAAGATAAAGATGCCAAGAATTTAGATGCACTAATGTTGGTGACGAAAATGTCAAGAGGTCTATGAACAAATTGGAAGACAGAGGTCAGGATTTCCCTTTCTGGCCAAAATGGAAGAATATGAGTTGGAATTTACCTTCCTATCAGAAACAATGAAAAGAATAAACAAAACATTAAAGTTATGGTTTTACAGACTGGACATCTGGTAAGAAAGGACAGTAATTCCTAACAAGTGCAAACAATCCTCAATATACCAAGCTACTATAAACAGAATCAAAACAAAAGTTAAGTTAGTAAAGAAAAAGTATCTATGGAAAGTCTTTGTTTTGTGAAATAGTCCTTCTTAAGCCAATCTTTGCTTTCTTGGTTCAGCTATTCTCATTGGTTTAAGAAGCTCCTAGTTGCCTATAAGCCAAGCAGTACATAGTATTTACTTTCAATACAAATTAAACTTGAAACTTCACCAATACCTAATGGCATAATTCTCTTAGACAGTATGAGCTATTTAGTATTTTGAATCACTCATGCCTGAGAAGTACAATTGAACAACATAGGTTTGAAACACATGGTCCACTTATACATGGATTTTTTTTTCAATAAATATACTGAGAAATTTTTGGAGAATTTTGACAACTTGGAAAAACTAGCAGATAAACTGTGTAGCCTAGAAATATTGAAAAATTAAAAGAAAAAGTTGGATATGTCATGAATGCCTAAAACATATGTAGCTACCAGTCTATTTTAATTTTTATTATCATAAAACATATACAAATCTATTACAAAAACTTAACATTTATAAAAATGTATACATACTTACAGACCACACATGGCACCATTCTACAGTTGAGAGAAACGTATTCAACTGTATAGATGTAGTATTAAATCATGACTGCTTCAAATTAAATGTAGTAATACTGTACTACTCCAGTAATTATGTAGCCATCTCCTGTTGGAGATGCTACTGTGGGGAGCTTGAGCATTGCCAGTATCAGCCTGAAGCCCATCTGATGCTAATCATCTCTGCAGGAGCATTTTGTCATTCCAGTAAATTTCATACTCATAAAAATTGATCCTTCAGGATTCTCATGTATTCATGTGTATGTGTTTAGGACAATTCTCTAAACCTTGAATAACACCATGGGACCCATACAGAGTACCACTAGTGATGCTGGAAGGGCTTCCAGGAAGCAGAGAAAAGTCATGTCATCACAAGAAAGAGGTGAATTGCTTGATATGTACTAGAGATTGAGGTCTGCAGCTGCAGTTGCCTGCCATTTCAACATAAAAGAATCCAGTGTAAGGACCATTGTAAGAAAAGAAAAAAAAGAAAAGAAAAGAAAATATTTTTTTTTAAAGATATTTTATTTATTTATTTGTCAGAAAGAGAGAGAGAGAAAGCACACAAGCAGGCAGAGAGGCAGGCAGAGGCAGAGAGAGAGACAGGCTCCCTGCTGAGCAAGGAGCCCGATATGGGACTCGATCCCAGGACCCTAGGATCATGACCTGAGCCGAAGGCAGCGGCTTAACCCACTGAGCCACCCAGGTGTCCCAGAAAAGAAAATATTTTTATCTCATATTGAAAATGCAGCTTTTATGTGGGTGCAGGATTACTATAAGGAAAGCATACCTATGGACTCTAATATGATTTGGAAAAAAGTGAATTCATTATATGAAAACTTAAAGATAAAGGAAGGTGAAGGATCTAAATGCTGGAGAATTTAATGCCAGCAAAGGATGGTTTGATAATTTTAGAAAGACATTTGGCTTAAAAAATGTCAAGGTAACAGGAGAAGCAGTGTTTGCCAACCAAGAGGCAGCAGATGAGTTCTTGGATGCCTTAAAGTAAACCATTTTCTGGGTTGGTTCCATCAATGCTGTGTTCTTGAAGTCAGGAAGTACTTCTCTAGTAAGGTACTGCCTATTAAAGTTCTTTTGATAATAGACAATGCCCCTGGCCAGCCAGGA